ATTTTTCAAATGTAGATACTGCCCATCTCACAGAAAGTGACTCTGGGAGGTTCACAATAAAACAGCAATAAATATTAAAATACAATAAAACAATATAAAAGATAGTACAAATAGAATAAAAACCAAATACATACACAAATAATATCTTCCAAGATGTTGATGGTCAGTAGGATGTTAACATATGGGAGCAACTTCAGGATGCTAGCCACCCCCAGGGTTGGTTGCCCTATTTTGTGTCCCATGCCAGTTGGCAGAGCCAGGTCTTGACTGCTTTCTGGAAGGACAAGAGAGTTGGGGCCTGCCTCACCTTGGGGGGAGAGTATTCCATAGGGTAGGGGCCATGGCAGAGAAGGCTCTCTTTCTGGACCTCGCCAGTCAACATTCTTTCATCAATGGGATCCGCAGCATACCCTCCCTGCCTGACTGGGTGGGATGGGTGGATATAATAGGGGTGAGACGGTCCCTCAGGTAACCTGGACCCATGCCATGTAGGGCTTTAAAGGTGATAACCAACACCTTGAATTGGACCTGGAAGCAAACTGGGACCCAGTGTGGCTCACGTAGTAACGGTGTAACATGCGCCATCCTTGGGGCACCTAAAATTGCCCGCGTAGCTGCATTTTGAACTAGCTGAAGTATAATCCTTCCATCTTTGTTTGATCTTCTTTGAATCAATTACTATCTGTCCATTGGTATCTGTTAGCACACCTATTTGAGGTTGAAACCTTTTTCTGAGTTCAGAGATCTTTCGAAAGATTTTCCTTGTTTTTCCATGTCTGTTACCATCTTCAACGTCTTTACAGATATTGTTGTAGTACTGCTTTCTTGTCTTTCTAACAGCTCTCTGAAATTCTTTATTAAGTTCCTTTCAGAGATGTTTGTCTTTCTTGGCTTTGGCTTCTCTTCTGTATTCTTTACCTGTTGTAGCGGGGGGGGGGGGCATTTAACAATTTCTGCCAATGCATATGTCACACGAACAAAAAGGAACCTTAACAGTGAGTATGCATGATTCCTTTCTGCCTTAAGAGTCTTGACTATAACCCAGGAGCTACCATTATATACTATCTCAAGTGGTTGTCATATAAGACTGACTGAGATTTGATAGATTTATTGCTATAATTTCCTTCCATAAAAATTATATTTTTCAGTGGTTATGAAATTTCCTTGTAGAAGGAATAATTAAACAGAATTTATTTATTTATTTATTAAGTGTTAATTTATTTATTTAAATTTAATTAATTTAAAACCCTTTTCCTAGAAAAAGCCATTCAGGACAGAGCAGAAAAAGAAATGGAATTGAATGAATATCTTATGGTAGTTCCAATAGATGTACTGCAATCAGAGATGGCTGCTTTTAGTGCAAAATTCAAAACTGATGGTGAGTATGAATATTATAACGCTACAAGATTAACAGATATAATAGACTCATTTAACAATTTCCACAAATTAGAAATGTTAAGGCAGTGTAGAGATACATGTAATTTATAGTTATATGATCTGGTAATGGTCCACTGACATATTTATTTGTATATTAGATTTATATTCTGCTTTTTTCCTGGAGCTCCATTGTATTTATTTTATTCTTACAACAACCTTCTGAGATATGTTGGACAAGATAAATTAGATCATTTATATTCTGCTTTTTTCCTGGAGCTCCATTGTATTTATTTTATTCTTACAACAACCTTCTGAGATATGTTGGACAAGAGAGTATGACAGGACCAAAGTTCCCAGTTAATTTAGTGGCTGAGAATGGAGTCTCCCAATTACTAATCTACCATCTTAAGGTATTAAACAAATTTATAGTGGATAGATATATTAATGAGAAATAATATCCATATCCAGAAGTAGAATGCAAGTTGTAATGGTATAACTAGGCCTTCAGTTAGGCCTTCTTGAAGTAGCGTGTAAAAATCAGTAGCATCCACTTCTAGAAAATCTTAAATTAGATCATTTATATTCTGCTTTTTTCCTGGAGCTCCATTGTATTTATTTTATTCTTACAACAACCTTCTGAGATATGTTGGGCAGAGAGTATTTGTACTCTCAAATGTATTTATTACATTTCTTTGCCACTGCAATCAAAAGACTCTCAGTAGTATGCAACATCATCAAAATGTAAAACATCCATGTTAAGATAGTAAACAATCTATGGTAAAAAGTAATAAGTAATAACAAAACAATTAACAATAATAAAAAACAGAACAACATACAAATTTAATCAGCTTATGGCATCATCCCTTAAATAAACTAAAAAGCTCTCTGGAAGAGCTCAGTTTTAACCAGCTTCTGGAAAGCAATCAACACTGGGGTAAGTCTAATCTTATCTATTTTGCAATAGTGGGGCCATGACAGAGAAGCATAATTTCCTACCCTCAGTCCCCTCTCATAGAAATAGGGGACCACCAACATTTTTCCCAGGATGGATGGATGGATAGATAGATAAGATAGATATTAGATGGGCCAATTCTAGTTGGAGAAGGTGGAGCTGCAGGTACCTTGTTGTCAAGCCATATGATGATTTATAGGTAAAACACACTACTTTAAATTACACCTGAGAACTTAGTGACAATCAGTGCAGGACCCACAGCACAAGAGTAATATGCTTCTATTGTCTAGTGTCTATTCACACAGGTCATTGCATTTTGTGCTATAATTTTCAAATGGTCTTTAAAGACCAAGTAAAACTTACTGCAGCAGTCCAATCAGGTGGTGATGAAAACATGAGTTAAAGTTCAACCCTAGATAGGACACCAGCTAACATACCATTTAGAGCTAGGCTCTAAATGACAAGCTGCATCTGTCAATCCAGCAGGAATCTTTGACTCCAGGGGAACTCCCAGTCCCAGTCCTGCTCCCTTCCTCAATGATCAAATAACAACTCCTCCTAACTTGGATTCAGCTTTAGACTGTTTTTTTCCCCATCCATCAGTGTCCAGATACAGAGATAAGATTTCACAAGCATCAGCAGCTCAGCCTGGTGTGGCAGTGCACAACTAGGTATCATCAGTATACTGTTTATACCATATCTTGAAATGACAGATGACCTCTCTCAATGGCTTCATATAGATGTAAAAAGGTAGCAGGAATGGCTACCTGGGTAGTCTCTCCTCTCCCTCAAGTATTAACTGGAACCATCCACTAAGGAAGGAGTAAAACCACAATAAAATACTGCCACAAATTCCCAACCACTGCAGATAATTCAGAAGGATATCATGGTTGATAACATCTAAGGTTGCTGATAGGTCTAATAAGATCACAAGGGGCACATTTCCTCCATCTAGAACCTAACAAATAACACGCCACATTGCAACCAATATCATTTCCATCCCATGCCCAAGTGAATCCTGACTGAAAAGGTCCCTCTGTCTACAGTGCTCTGCAGATGCCTCCCACTACCCTCTCAACAACTTTTGCTAAAAAAGGAACGGTGGAGACTGGGCAATAGTTTCAAGTTTGGATGGATTTAAAGAGGACCTCCTTTTTGTCTCATATAATCCCCATAAACTTTACAATAATCTATCTGTAGTTTTCAGAAATTCAGGAAAAAAAGCTGTAATGTTATATAGTTTTGCTAATACGAATACACACACATACAAACAAAGGTATGTATATATGCATTTGTAAATCTGCTTGATCTTTATAGATGAGCAAACAGCAAAACGAAGAGCTTTGGCTGCAAAACTAGAAGCAAATGTAAAAGATTTACAAGCTGCTTTTGAAAAAGTAGAGAAAATAGAAACATCCAGAGAAGTTGGTAAGAACACAGCAAAAGCAATATACCACAGAAGTATTTTTATTCAATTCATTAGATTTCCCTTTAGTTTTTTAAAACAAAGTAATTGTCCTAATTTGACCTTAGGAAGTCAAATCTCACTTCTTTTATAATAAGAAGGCACAGCTTCATAATCACAAGAATGATTTGCAGCAAACCTCTTCCTTGGGTGCATATCCTCTTTCACACCTAGGAGGAGAAGTGGCTTTTAGTTTTGAATTAATTACAGTTTTCTGTGACATCTGTTTGGGAACTGCTTTGTTTAAAGTTTTTTTCCCCAGCTTGGTACTCAGAGATGCTGAACACCCACTGCATCAATTCTATAAGACTCTTGTCTCTTTGGAAACACTTTTAATGGCAACAAAAAATCAATAAAAAGAAAATGAAAATCAGACAATTCTTGCTATGGCTTGGCAGTTTGGGTGAGAAGAGCAATGTAAGAAAGAGGAGGAGATTGTAAGAATCTTTGTGTGTTGGCAGATGTTATGGTCTAAGACCAGCAATAAAACATAGGGAACTGTTTAAGTTGTAAAAAAATTAAAGAAGTTAATGTGCACAGAGTCAGGGATAGAGAAACCAAGAAAGGCAAAGCAAGCCCAGTACAACAAGCACAGGATTACATATCTAGAGTAGTCCAGAGTTGAGAAAAGTAAATTCAGGAAGCTAGAAGATCTCCTGCAATAAACCATGGAGCTCTTGGTAACTCCTGAAAATGTTACTTTAGAAAACTCTCTTACAGAATTATATTTAATTGGGGCCAGTACCTCTTTGTATACAATTAAATATAAAAGAAAATAAAGGAAATCATACATCCAGAAGCATGTCTTTATTATTCATGTATTCCTTGTTTTTTGAATACTGTGGGTTTTTGGAGAGAGCCAGTTGCATACCTACAACATTGTTCTGCAACTGTTTTCCAAGATCATGCAATTATTATTAATGCTTCTCTGAGGAAGGTATTAATTTATATATAACTATTTTATTTTTGTTTTTAAGATTCTTTTGCTGTTTTAGTCTGGGATGAGAGCATAGGAGAAAATGCAAATTATTCAGTCTTGCCTGCTGCCTGAATGTTCTCAGATTCCCTTCAGAAGACATAGCGAATATAAATTCACTGGAAGTTACCTTAATTGTCTTACTACATACACATTTCTTGCCTTATATTGAGATCAGGAGCCTGGTAGCAGACAAATAGAACTGCAGCTCATGCCTTTTAATAAAATTAGTCAGAAAAAAGTGCTACTAGATTCCTGATTTTTTGGCCACCATATACTGATAAGGCTGTCCTACATTGCTTTGTATTTGATAGATTGATAGATTGGGGGGGGGAAAGAGTAGCAAAATCAATGAAAATGCAAAATGAGAGTGGAGCAGAAGATCATTGCAAGAAGGATTCCTACTCAATGAAATAGATAAACTAATATCTTGAGAGATGCACTTAAACTACCTGCCAGGCACCTGAAAACAGAACTCAACTGGAAAAGCACCAATATAATATCTTCTGGCTTCTATAGGTCACTGTTGTGTATCTAGGCGGCCTTTTTAAATAAGTATTCTTATTACTCAGAGCAATCGGCAAATAATTGCTGCAAGCTTCTATTGTCGGATTATTTTATTTGAAAACATACTGGGATTTTTATTCTCTTCTTGACATATATGAATAATGTCAGAATCAAGAGATCACTTACAACCACTAATTAGATGGAAGACTAGTATAACCGAACCATCAGATCACCAACTATTCATGGCGTCTACAGCACTACAAATAACCAAACCTCCTAGTAAGTATAAAGTGTGACATAATGTCTAGGAAATGATGCAAATAAGACTAGAAGACTTTTTCCCCCTGATGAAATTATACAAATTTGCTGCTTTTGTGCAGCTAATGGTTCCAATAGAAGAGAATATATGTAGTTCAGGGTTGAACTGTGGAGTCCTTGGTGCTCTCTGAGCTTGGTTGTTTGCTTGTAGATGTTTCATTACCCAACTAGGGCACTGATGATGTTATCTAGTTGGATAATGAAATGTTTGCAAGCAAACAACCAAGTTTAGAGAGCACCAAGGACTCCACAGTTACTAAAGGTTAATTTAAAGATCAATTATGCAAGACTGTACTATTATATTAGGTGCTCAGTCAGCTCTTACATAAAAACTGTCAAGATGACTTGTATAACATCCATATTGCAACTTTCATAAATGTCATTTCTAGTAACAAGCCATATTGTTGAAGTTTTCCATTTTGAAAGCTCCATTTTGAAGTTTCCACAAGAAAGTACAGCTCTTGGTCATTTTCTCTCTGCTTCATAGAAATACATTCTGCTCCTGCTGAGAGCATTAGTTGGACATCTCTAGTTTAATTTTTCAGCAGGAAAGGGCCCTTGTCCATTAAAGTGCATGTACTCAAGAAGGTGATGCCTGCCATCCCTTTAGTTCCTTTGGAGTACCACAGTGTTAGTATTGTCTAGTTTCTCTAGCAACTTTCCTTTGTCAAATATTTTCCATCCTGGCTTTTGTTCTTCATTGAAGCAATTTTATCCTCCATCATATAGCTCAAAAGTGCCTTTCTGAACATATGCGAAGTATCTCCCTCAGAAAAGCATTTCTCTTAGTTGTGGGGGGCATGTTGTTGAGGTCTGTGTCCATTGCCAAGTCTTCACCAAACAAGCCTGTTGAGAAGATCTTCATGCTTGAGAGCACTGCTGTGGGTACAGGCTTATAAAGTGTCACATTTCCAGCCCTTGGTTTATTTTGTTCTCTTTGAGGATATTAGTAGACATTTGAATGTCATTGAATACCACTATGAACCTTAAAGGAACTAACAGTTTTATGTCAGTACAGCATGGCCTTTTTTCTTTAGAATGTTGTTTCTCTTGCATTCCACATTGATGATTTTTCGACCTTCAGCAAGAAAATCCAATACAGTAGAATCCTATTAATAATGTCAAGAATCCAAACTGTGGCCATAAAGCTGGTCTCTAAATTTCCATTTGTATTTTCTTTTCTATTTTTGTCTCTCTGCATGTGCTTTTCTTCAGACTTGCTGAATGCAGCTTTAACTAATCATTGCTTGATTCCTAACAAATTTTACAACTGTTGTGTCATATTTTGAATTAAGTAATAGAATTTAGAAAGCCAGTTTGGTGTAGTGGTTAAAGGACTGGATTAGAAACCAGGAGACTGAGAATTCTAGTCCTTCCTTAGACATGTAGCCTTTGGACTTTGGGCACATTACACTCTCTCTTAACCCTAGGAAGAAGATAATGGCAAACCACTTCTGAAGAACGTTGGCAAGAAAACTACAGGGACTGATTTGAAAGCAGCAGATAAATAAAAATCATCCAAAGCTATATATTTGTATGTGGCAAAAGTATGTTACCCTTTGCTTTCCGTAACTAGTGAGTCCCCCTTGGGCAGCAGTAACTGTAACTAAATGCTTCCAATAACTGTTGATCAGTCCTACACATTGGCTTGGAGCAATTTTAGCCCATTCCTCCTTACAGAACAGCTTCAACTCAGGGATGTTGGTGGGCTTCCTCACACGAACTGTCTGCTCAATGTCCTTCCCCAACATTTCTATAGGATTAAGATCAGGACTTTGACTTGGCTATTCCAAAACATTAACTTTCTTCTGCTTGAACCATTCTTTGGTCATACAACTTGTGTATTTTGGGTCATTGTCTTGCTGCATGATCTACTTTCTCTTGAGTTCACAGGTACCCTGACATTTTCCTGTAGAATTTGTTGGTACAATTCAGAATATATAGTTCCATCAATTATGGCAAGCTGTCCTGGTCCTGAGGCAGCAAAGCAGGCCCAAACCATGATACTGTCACCACCATGTTTTAAGGGTAAGGTTCTTATGCTGGAATGCAGTGTTTTCCTTCTCAAAACATAACACTTTTTCATTCAAGCCAAAAAGTTTTATTTTGCTATCATCCATCCACAGAACATTCTTTGAATAGCCTTCTGGCTTGTCACATGGTCTTTTGCAAAGTGTAGACAGGCAGCCATGTTCTTTTTGGAGAGTAGTGGCTTTCTCCTTGCAACCTTGCCATGCACACCATTGTTGTTCAGTGTTCTTCTGAACACTGACATTTGCCAATGCAAGACAGGCCTTTAGTTCCTTAGATGTAAGCCTGGGGTTCTTTGAGACTTCCTGAAGTATTACCTGCCTTGTTCTTGGTGTGATCTTCATTTGTCAAACACTCCTGGGGAGGGTAACAATGGTGTTTGTCTCAAAATTTTTACTTCCTTCTCCTTATACTTTAACTTTCCATCTCTTACTACCTGCAAAATTTCATTTCTTATTGTTTTCTTTGTGAACCTAACATATTATATATATTTTTGAATATTTGGGAATCTGGGAATATTATATATATTTTTGAATATTTGGGAATCTGGGAATACTCTAAATACTTCATCCATCTCCCCTAAAATTCTGTGAACTGATGTATCTAAGAGCTCTGCCAACAACACTGATATTATCTCTACCAGATTTTCCCCCTTCTCCTCTTCTATATTCTGAAAGCGAAGGTAAAAGTCTGCCTTGTCCATCTCCAGCATAATAATTTTCTTATCCTTATCTTGATCTGCCTGCCTACATTTGTAATCCAACTCCTCCACCTGCTTCTCAGTTTGGTTAGACTTCTCTTCAACCTTTTGTATTCTTTGCTCAAATTGTCCCATTACTTGTTGAATTTTCTCTAGTTTTCATCCACACTGCCCAGGTCTTTTCTAATATCTCTAACGTCGGTTTTCACCATCTCTAGGTTTGCATTCATGATCTCCATTTTTTCCATCATCATCTGCATCATTACTTTCATCTCCTGTTGTGATTGATTATCCTTTTCCTACTGTAACATCGATGTAATAGAACGTTGTGCTCCCGGGCTTATATTTGATTGTATTGGCACTGTAGCGGATGCCGCTATCACCTTCCTCGACATTATGGAGATAGTCCAGAGATGTAATATCAGTTGGAAACACTATAAATTTTATAATCCAAATTGGTTCTCCCCAATCAGTCTATCAGTTGTAATCCAATTGGCCCACTCCCAATACAAAACCAAAAAAAAAAGAGTTGTCCAGGATCCAATTGAACAACAGCAACAAAAAAAAGAGGATTCCCAGATTCCCAAATATTCAAAAATATATATAATAATAATAATAATAATAATAATAATAAAAGTAAAATAGGATGAAAGATAGAGAATAAAAAAAAAGTTATTTATTATATCCAAGGGAAAAGCTTCGGAAATTCCAAATTTGCAAGGCAAGAATGGCTTTTCTTTTCTTTCTTATCTATCAAGGATTTATTTTTCCCCTTGCTCAGCAGCTACTATTTTATTTCAACCAAACCTCCTTTCGCAGCTGAACTTCAGGGTCACTGCTAATTATACAATGCATCACCATCTTGTTTCTTTTGCTTTCCCTCCTACAACAACTTCCACTAGATGGCAATAGGGTGGACTAATCTCCCTTACAAAAAAAAAAAAAAAAGGGGGAGTTTAAATAAGAATCCCATAGTCCCCCCAAAAAAAAAAACGGAAAGAGGGGAAATTTTAATCCGAGACAAAAAAAAAAAATAAGTAAGGAG